GTAATTGACTATCATATTTACTAGAATACAATATGAGGTATGTGTTCATCCCCCTGCACCCCTCCAAACTTCATTAAATATATTGTCTATCATTAAACTGATGCCAAAATAACGTGTTCAGTAATGGAAACCAACTATATAGTTGATTAAATACAGCCAACACTGAACATGACTATAAAATAAATAAATGGCCCATGTTGGGCAAACGTGCTATGATAGAAAGATAATATAAAAACTAATTTAGAAGGGATAGGCAAAGAAGTGACAAGACAGGAGATTGCATACAATGAGAAGAAATGGAAGGCCTTAGTTAAGGCAGTTACAGGCTCTTGAGGGCCTGTGAGATCAGTTAGATGAAATTTCCCACCTAAAATGCTCATCTATGCTGAAAGACAAGTCTAGGACCTCATTGACATCTCTAATGTGAGAACAACACAAATTTAAACACAAATTTGATAATTAAACAGTTGTTTCTGTATTTATAACCAGAACTATCTTCTGACTTACTAAACTTTACCTGCTCGTGAAAGTTGAAATTCTTTGCCCAATTATGCTAATCCATCGGGATTTGCTGTTTGACCTGAAAGGCACTTGAATTCCTTAATGACCAGCACCATTATGGGAAGAGAGAAGCAGCAGGGTAAAGAAGCTACAGTAATTCCTGACCCAACTAAAGAATATGAAGGATAAAAGCAAGATGTAAAGACTGGCCAGTGTGTTTTCTTAAGCAGAGGCTATTCAAGCCTCCCACTCTTTTCCTCCTCCCCATAAATAGTTCCATTAGTAGTCAAATACAATTAGAATTTAGAATAAAATTTGGGTACTAGAAATTTCACACCTGGTCTACAGCATAATTGGCTCAAATGATCTTACATAACATAGTTGTTAAAGGCAGACAAGGTTCCTTGGGTGAATTTGATATCTTTTATTAGACCAACCTAAATGGTTGGAGAATAGTTATTAAGCAAGCTTTCGGGTTCAAAAACCCTTCGTCAGGCTCTTGCTTAATAACTATTCTCCAACCATTTAGGTTGGTCTAATAAAAGATATCAAATTCACCCAAGGAACCTTGTCTGCCTATATCCTTAGACCAACACGGCTACAACCTAAACCCCTGCAACATAGTTGTTAAAAGGATTTTTCCCACCCACTTGATTTTAAAGCCCACCTTTAGTTCCTATGAGACTTGGGACTGAGAGACGGATTCTTTTCTACCTCTTTTCTATCTACATGCGCCCTTATGGCGCCATTGTTACTGTGCTGTGCTAGCGGCGCAGTTATTTTTTAGCGATTACATTGCTGTAGCAATGCACTATAGCAAGGGAGCACATTGCTATGGCAATGTAGTGTTATGGTTTTTGCCCGCTGGCGCTACATCGCTGTAGTGTGTTGTTATGGCAACATAGCATCTCATGTAGACATGCCCCCTGTCTCTGAATCCAATTTAGGCCTGTCTTAATTAGAAAATTATTCTAGATTATGCTATTTTGAACAGTCAGTTTAACTTGATACAGTGTTTAAATAGGACTTAAACTATACGAAGGGGCAAGTTGTGGTTCACATGATGCATTTGGCTATGCATCCTGCTTAAGCCAGTAGGTTCCCCCAACCAGTGGACCTCAGTGTTAAATGTGTGATATATGTTTACTTTTCTGGCTTTGCATTACTTGTCATTTTTTACCTTTTTATAAAGTGCTTTTTTTTTTCTCTTAATAAGTTAGGAATCTTAGTTTTTTTTGTAATTTATGTATATGTATATAAAAGTTTTCAAACTGTAATTACAAACTAATCTTTATGTTGTGTTTTAACTCTTGTACTAAGCATCAAATTGTGTATTGAATAAAATTTCCTAAATCAGATTAAAGTGCAATTGTTGTGGTTTAGCTTATTGTCAGAAATTTAGATGTCTGTAATAATTGATAACTAAACTTGGGTAAGAGCATGGGCTGCCTCATTCTAAGATTAAGCAAATTAATTAAGATTAATTTTTTTTTAAAGTTTACCAAGTTGTATATAAGCTTAGGCACTATATTGTCTCAGTTACATAAGCACATAGAACTGGAATAGGCCTAGGCACACCTTCAGGAAAGATACATATAGGTAAATGAATCCCAAATGTAAGATCATAAAATATATGAATTAATATACAAAGTCAAATATGTTAACCAAAATACATGGAAATTGAATATGTCTTGTGTTGAAAAAGTTTGTAGTAGTAACATGACGTGTAAGTTTACTAGCCAGCTTGCAATATCAAGTCAACATTTTGGCTTACCTGTTTAGATAATGATCCTTTAAAATAAGGTGAATGTACTATTAAGTGGGAGTTAATAACTAAATACATGTTATTATTTTTAATATAAATAATTAACTAATACATTTTATTTATCATTCATGTAGCTCCAATGCAGGGTTAAATTAGATAGTGGTAAAAATGTCTGTTTCACCCGTGTTCTGAACAGTGGGTGGTTGTGATGGGAGAAATGACAAAGTATATAACTGGGCAGCTTTCAGGGTGAAGCTGTTGCAAAAAGTGAGGCATATTTGGGCAGCAGCTGAGTAGTTGGCAGGAAGAAGAGAGACATCTTTAAGTGGGGGTGAATGGGGCAACTGAAAGAATCATGGATAATCACGTCCTCCCACTCTTCACTGCCATTGCTAATCTCAGGTAGCGTAAAGAGCAGGGATCCTGGTTTTCTCTGTATAAAAATCACAAATTCTCCGATTAACATCCCCACAATCTGCATTTTTTCATGATTAAAATGAAACCCTACAATATATATTGGTATCAATTAAACACACTTTTATTGATATATTTATAATTTGAAAGCAGTTTGGAAGCCTACCATTGCCTCAATCATTATAATAAAATAGGATGCCTGTACATAAGCAACGATGCTGCTCTGACATGCTGTAATTACATTAATTGAGTTAACGTAATTACATTAATTGATTTAATCAAGTCTAGTGAAGCGTGGTAATTACTGAGCTCCAGCCAACTCCAGTGTCCCATGTTTTAACAGCCCCTTGCTGAAAAATGGGAGCAGGGGCGCTGTAACTAAAGTTTGTGCAACAAGCTTTAGTTAAAGTGCCCCCGCTGCCAGTTTTCAGCGTGGGGGTGCTGATACACAAGACACTCCAGGAATGTTCTAATTAATGCCTGGAGACTGCAAGAGATAGGGGCCAAGGGCCTGGTGCTACAGGAGCGCAGCCATAGCGGCTCAGGAGCCTGGCAGACAGAGGCCAGGGGCCCAGAGCTTGGAGGCGGTAGATGGTTGCTAGTGCCTCAAAGCCAGGTCCAAAGCAGTGGGCCTCGGCTAAAAGGCCTAGTGAAGGTAAAGGGGTGGAGGCTGGGGAGGCTGAAGCCCCAACTGAAGGAACAATGTTATTGTAACATCTATGAGCTTGGAGCGTAGTGTAGGAGAGAAGAAGGAACCATGGAAATTGCCCCTAAGGCTACAGGTGCCCTACAGGGGCCTTGTCAAGTCAGGAAGGAACTATTAGGATTGAGGCTCACTCTGAGGCTTGTTGGTAGCCTTCCTTATTCACTCTGTTTAACAGTAAGATCAAGCCATGGCAGGAAAGCAAACAAGAGAGAGAGAGGCCATAGAGTTTCAGCCAGATAGGAGCTGCAATCCTACTGAAAGGTGCCTTGGCTGCCCCAGTGGTTTTGCGACCGGTTACAATGTGTGTAACCACTCATAAATTCTAAATACTGATATATTTTGGCATTGCATTTTGGTTATTTTATTATGGAAAATCAGAACCCAGGATACAGATTCAGCTGGGCCCCACCCTCAGTGCTGAGCAGTTTTGATATGCTGGTGCCCTGCACATGCCATTGCGCCCCCCCCCCCCCCCCCCCCCCCAAGCCCTGGTGGTGCCCCTTACTCCCAACCTGCTTTCCCTTGCCCCCAGCCCACCAGTGTATGAGCAAAAGAATAGCTGTGTGGGGAACTGTGGGTATATGGGGAAGCAGGGTTTGGGCAGAGCTGACCGGTCAGGGGGGCAGTGGTGGCACAGGCAGTGTGTGGGGCACATGCCCCCCAGATTTCTGCACCCACAGAAGGGCCCAGAGCTATATCTGAGCCAGACCAGCTCCAAGCAGGTTCCACCTTTGGTCCAGCAGGCAGGACCCAGTACAGTAGGGAGTACTGCACCACCATGGTTACCAAGGTGAGGTAGCCCGCTGCTGCTGGGTGTGCAGGAGGTGCCTTATCTTGGCAGCCATGGTGGTGCAGTGTTTCCTTCCACACCAGGTCCTGTCCACTGTTACAGAGGCAGCTCCTGCCCAGCTGCAATCCTGCACCCCACTGTGGGTGCAGAAATCTAGGGGGGGCATGTGCTTCTCCACACACATTGTCTGTGGTCCCTGCCCTCCCCCCCACTGGCTTACCTGCAGGGAGCTGCTTTCTACCACACTGCCTGACTTCCATGTACATCTGTGTGCGCATAAGTGCACGTGGTGCTCCCTGCATCCCACACTCCCCAGCCCCAGCAGTGCCTTGCAAGCTGAAACTGTGCTAGCCAGCAAAGGGAAACCTGCAGTTTCCCACATTTTTCTCCTTTAAAGGAGGAAATCTGCATTTTTCCATAGCAAACAAAACCCTGGATCCCTGGTAATGAGTGGGTAACAGCAGCAGTGTAAGCAGTTGGCTGTAGATCTGGTAATAAGTGTAAATATTTTTTCAGTGTTCCTGAAATAATTGAGATGCATTAATATAGGCAGTAAATAATTTAATTTAGCCTAATGAGTGGAAGAGAATGACCTTTTATAAGAGATGTGTGGACTGCTGGGATGGTTAGTAGTACAGATTTTAACACAGAATGAAAACTGATGCCACAGAAATGGGAAGTTATCATATTTCAAATACCTGATCATGATGTGTTCATCTCTTAACAAAATATTCTGATTGCATATTTTACTGTGATATAACCATACTGATTAAAGAGTAACATTGCAGTAAATATTGAAAATTTTTAATGTGTTTATTTTTCAGGGCAATTAAAGCATTTCAGGAGGCGCTTTATGTTGATCCCAGCTTTTGTCGAGCCAAGGAAATTCATTTGCGACTTGGGCTTTTGTTCAAAGTGAATACAGACTATGAGTCTAGTTTAAAGGTAGGTTGAAACGAATTAAGTTCTGTTTAGCAATTATTGCAAAATTAATTGCGTTTAAAAATGGCAAGGAATTTGTTAGGTTTGCATTGGTAGTACAGTGCCAGCTTTGGAAATACAAGTATTCTTGTCTGCAGTATTCTAGCAAATTTTGATACTCAGAGGTAATAGGAAGGTTTGGAGGGTTCCAGAGAGAACTAAAGCTTCAGGTGGGCACTGAACACTTCACCAGCCTAATTTAATGGATTGTGCAATGATCTGAGTTTATAATCCTAACTAAAGTACTACATTATAAGGGATGCAGGGAAAACAAAGGAAGGGATAAAGAAGATGGTGACAAGACAGGAAAAATTGGCAATCTGGATGTGTAGCGCCCTTCCTTTTTCCTCTATGTATGATACACACAACAAAAGTTCCTGATGTCTGAAGCACCTTTTAAGCAATTACTTTCTGACCAATTAGAAACTGTTTATTAGTATAGAATACCTTTTTCTTTATTTCTTTTTCTGTTACTGTAGCTCTTTGTTTTTTTTCTATTTATTCTCTTCCATCTTGCCTTGTTCTCTAGTTTTTGTTTTTCCTCCTCTTCCCCCAATTCTTTTTCTTACCTGTTTTTCGCTAATACTGTAGGACAGAATTTTAGTCTTCAAATATACCTGTACTGGAAGTAGGGAGCATTCTTTACAGGAACTTCATGCTATGCAGTGAAATCTATAAGGAAGGAGGCTTTTTTTAAGACAAGCTATAATTTTATCATTACATTTCTGCATATTAAACCCTCTTGATTTTATATATGTACCTGTTCATTTCTCTCATTTTGTCTTATCTAGCTCAGTCCTTTTGAAACCAAAAGAAAGCCACTGAAATTTTGAACACAACAAATGTTTAAGAACTACTATGTTTTCTTGTTCCTGACAGTTTACTTTTCCTCAGCTTTGCAGTGAGGGTGCTGTCTTAAGTAGGGGTGACCAAACCTCCAGCATGTATGACGTGGAAGATCAGGGAGGGGACAGGGAGCATAGTGGGAGATAGGTCAGGGAGCACAGGGCAGGGAGTAGAAAGCAGAGCAGCAGTTGGGTTGGCAGAGGGGTTTGGAGTGGAGCTCTGGGAGGGTGTGTGCCTAATTTGTGTGTCCCCTGTTAAAAAAACCAAACAAAACAAGAAACAGTTGGCCCCCACTGGTATAAAGCATGGTCAGCAGCCTAGGGCAGGGTTTAATACAGTGGTTCTCAACCAGGTTGCCACAAGACCCACTCCAGGGTATTGTGATGCAGACACTGCTGTGGTCAAATAAAACTTTCCTGTGTGCAGGGCTAAAGCCTGCGTGCCTTCCTGCTGCATGAGGCCTGTCTGATAAACCTAAAGCAAAAGAAAACTGACTTGGGCTGTAGTCCTTCCTGGTCCAGACCATCACCCCTCACAGTTCTACCCATACACCTCTGCTTCCTGGGTGGGGACCAGGAAGGGCTACAGACCAACCCAGCTCTGTTTTTGCTTTAGGCTTATCAAAGAGCCTTAATGCAAGAGGAGTGTGCACACATGTCACACCCCTTCCCAGGTTGGCTGAACAGCAGGCACGTGGGGCAGTAGAAGCACCTGAGTTAAGTTGAAGCAGCACCAACAGTGGTTCTCAACCAGGGTGTTGCCATAATCAAATAGGTGGTGTTGGGGTGCTGTGACTGAAAAGGTTGAGAGCCACTGGTTTACTAGATCATTGATCAAAGGAGCCATTCTGCTTCAACCTTATAAAACATTAAAACATTTCTCTAATCAGATTTCTTCTCCTTGCCCAGAGAAAATGTCCTAGGTTATGAGCCTCAGGCAGATTTGAGAGCTCTGATTAGAGGAAGAGGATCACAGTGTATGCATAGAAATACTGTACAGTGTGAGATGACAAACCAAGGCCAGGAAGGGAGTTTGAGATTTGTAAATCACTGGAAAAAGACTTATTAGAAGAAAAATGCTTTAGCCTTGTTACATGCTTCAGTATTTTCCAACCATGATTGAGCCAAGCTGTGAAGGAGACTTGCAAAGTCCTCGTAACTGTTGGGAACGTCATGGTCTGATATCCAAAGCTGCTAAATATCTATGACTTGTGTATTCTGCGGGAGCTTCAGCTGCAGAGCCCTTAGCACAGAGGCGTGACATGTGGCCAGGCACCTAGATCAGCTGCCACACACAGCAGACATGGCAGCTCCCAGTTACCACTGCCACTGCCGCCACACTCTGATCCCATGGTGACAGGTTTGGAGTTTTTTTCTTTGTATCCACCTGCTCCCTTCCTCCCTCTCCTCCCTCAAGTTGGCATCTGGGGCAGCTACCCCAATCACCCCACCCTGGTTACTCCATTGCCTCTGCAGGTCAGGCATTTGGTTAACAACTGTGCCTTATTCTGTAGCTAAGCCAGGGCAAACTTCTACGTAAATATGTATTTTGATTTTTAAATGTGTTTGCATCAATCTAGTTAAATTGGTCAGGTTGGGTTTGTAGACAGGGCTTTAGGGCCAGACATGTACCTAAAGATGTAAATGGCTGGCCACTCAGGTGAGTGAGTGGTGCCAGACATTTTTTAAAAATTCCTTCAGTTACTTTATATACCTTTTTGAAAAACTGGCCTGTAGTTAATTTTGTGCAGCCCTTCATGCATGGTTTCATGCAACAAAAGGCAGGACAGGGGAGTGAAGGTTGTTTTAATAAAACAGTATCAGTCTTTACGTTGTATTTTACTAGGTTTTTGCCACACTATGATTCTATGGACTACATACATGAAATGTCAATATATTCAAAATTTGCATTACTTTTAATTGAGTCAAACTAGTCATACTGTAAACAAACTATTCAGAACTCTGTGAGAAAGTGGAGGGTGATGGCTGGTTTACAGCTATAAAATAAGCTACCAAGATCAAGAACATACACTGTGAGTAAGTATCTTCTCAAGGAGCCGTAAGCAAGCAGTAGGGAGTAGGAAGTTTCATGCACAACCCAACATGGTACTGTTCATGAAAAATAAACAGCAAATTAATTACCCACATCATGAATAATTGGCATTGGTTTGACTTGCCCTCATTGGATCCTGAGGATCTTGCTATAAGGATTCAGAATGTTAAAGGACAGTTATGAGTAATTTGATCCAGTCAGCTAGATAGTGGCCTTAGGAATAAGCAGTTCCTGAGGCCTTAACATAGTAACTTACATTCAAGCCTGAGCTTCCCATTTGTTGTTGATGAGAAAGGAGGCAACTCTCTGTATTACAGCTGTTTGGGACCCCAACAGACTACAGAACTGTTAAGTTTAATGTAATCTGAAGTGCAGGAACAGTTTTTGATGTTGTTATTTAAACATTCATAGAATCGTAGAAAATTAGTGTTGGAAGGCACCTCAGCAGGTCCTCTGACGGCTCGGCATCGCTCTGAGTGCTCGTGTAGCACTAGCCAGGTACCAGAGCATTGGAAAAGGGCCAATGTGGTCCCCATTTACAAGAAGGGGAGAAAGGAGGACCCCAGCAATTATAGTCCAGTCAGTCTTACCTCAGTCCTTGGGAAGACCTTTGAGAAAATTATCAAGGAGCACATCTGCAAGGGCTCAGCAGGGGAGGTAATGCTCAGGGGCAGCCAGTATGGGGTCATTGAGGGTAGGTCCTGCCTGACTAACCTGGTTTCTTTTTATGATCAGGTCACAAAGTCCCTGGACGAGAGTGTTGGTGTGACTGTGGCATTGATGCCTACACAGTCAGATGGGTGGCAAATTGGCTAGATGGTTGCACCCAGAGAGTGGTGGTGGATGGGTTGTTTTCAACCTGGAGAGATGTGGCCAGTGGAGTCTCCCAGGGCTCGATCCTTGGGCCTGTACTGTTCAACATCTTTATCAGCGATCTGGATGTGGATATGGAATGCACGCTGTCCAAATTTGCTGACGACACCAAATTGTGGGGCAGGGTGGGCACGCTGGAGGGGAGGGACAGAATCCAGCTAGATCTAGACAGATTACAGAGGCGGGCGGATGAGAATAGGCAGGAATTCAGCTCAGACAAGTGCAAGGTGCTGTACCTAGGGAGAAGGAACTAGCAACACATCTATAGGCTGGGGAACACCCTTGGCAACACTGTGGCAGAAAGGGATCTTGGAGACATTGCTGACTCCAGGATGAACATGAGCCACCAGTGCGAGGAAGTGGTCAGTAAGGTTAACTGCACTTTGTCGTGCATCTACAGATGCATCACAAGCAGGTTCAGGAAGGTGATCCTTCTCCTCTATGTGGCATTGGTCAGGTCACAGTTGGAGTACTGTGTCTAGCTCTGGGCACTGCACTTCAAGAGGGATGTGGCTAGCATTTAAAGGATCCAGAGGAGGGCCACTTGCATGGTCAAGGGGCAGCAGGGCAAGCCCTATGAAGAGAGGCTAAAGGGCCTGAACCTGTTCAGCCTCTGCAAGAGAAGGCTGAAAGAGGATCTGGTCGCCATTTACAATCTCACCGGGGGGACCAGCGAGAATTGAAGGAGGCTCTGTTCCCCCAGGCACCACCCGGGGTTACTAGGAATAATGGCCACAAATTGTTAGAAGGTTCAGGCTGGACATCAGGAGACATTACTTTACAGTTAGGGCTGCCAGGCTCTGGAACGGGCTCCCAAGGGAGGTGGTGCTCTCCCCTACCTTGGGGGTCTTCCAGAGGAGGCTGGACAGATATTTGGCTGGGGTGATATGACCCCGACACTCGTTCCTGTCCAGGGTAGGGGGTCGGACCAGATGATCTGTTTAGGTCCCTTCCGATCCTAAGCACTATGATCTAGTCCAACCTCCTGCTCAAAGCAGGACCAGTCCCAACTAGATCATTCTAGCCAGGGCTTTGTCGAGTTGGACCTTAAAAACCTCCAAGGATGGAGATTCCATCACTACTCTAGGTAACTTGTTTCAATGCTTCACCACCCTCCTACTGAGAGTTTTTCCTAATATCCAACCTAAACCTCTCTTGCTGCACCTTGAGACCATTGTTCTCTGTTCTGTCGT